GGCAAGGAAAGTTAACTTTTTCTTCCCTAGGCTAGTAATGCCCGTTGTCTCTCCACATTTCATATCGAGTCTTCCTCTGCACTCTTAAAGCAGCCCCACATAATGTAATAATCTATTGTTATTAATTGTGTGTCCTTTTGGGCACTGTTTCAGATTTTTTTTTTTAATAAATGACTCAGTAGAAGGCACACACAGACACATACTGCAGAGATCTTTTCAGTGATCAAAGAAATAATTAGGAGCAGCTTTATCTGCTTTTTATAAATGACTGAAAATGACCACAGGTCTAATCAAGTAAAATGACTTTAAAGGGTCGCCAGGGAACCAGACAGAAGTAAGATTCTAATTCTGATGTTCTATCAAGCCAAAGCGTGAGCGGCCAGAGAGATGGGTGTGAAATGGCCAATACGCTGACCGTCACAGCAGTCCCGTGTCACGAACACACCGTCCTCGGGCACACGTGGGACGACTGTGCCGGGAAAGCAGCGGCCGCCACTGCACTCACTCCCCCTCGACGGAACAGCCCACTTACCCTCCACTCACTCTGCTTTATCCACTTTAAACGCTAACATTTGAAACGTCCTGGGAAGGAGTTTGTATGGGTGGGGAATGCTACAAAAGAGGCTACGTAGGGTCAGAGCCACAGCTGGAGCGAGTTTAGGTGTAACCTGTCCTTGCTCACGCTCCTCTTGCACAGAATCAACATGATGGAGGCTCATCCTCAGATTATCATGACAACACTTTTCTTACTATTCCCCAGGTGACCGTCCACTCCGATCAACTACGAATTCTCCGTTATTCACAGTGAAAAAGAAGGAACCTCTGTGTCAACTGTTTCTAAACCTTTGTATTTTGGAACTCTCAGTTTTAAAAATGACTCGCTCTCCCAGTGATGTGTGCTGACAGCTGCTGTCCAGAGGAAATGGCAGGGATGTGCTCCCTAACAGGGGAAAGCCGGAGGGCATCAAAAAAGGTCAGGAATCATCTCAGAAAGTGGAGCGATCGCATCCAGGAAACTGGGTTTCTAGTTGATTCCAGGAGCGCTCGCACGAGTCTGTGCGTACAGAGACTCATATTTATTACAGAAAAAGCAGTAAACTGACTGCCTCAGCTTCCGCTTCCACCTATGCCAAGCATTCCTTCTTCACAGTATCACAACATCCAAGCCACTGTCCTTAAAGTGTCCAAGTTTTCTCAGAAAAGCATGAAATCTGGGGCCTCCCCGGTGGTGCAACAGGTTGAGGGCAGCGCTGTGAAGCTGTCCGCAGCCTCTGCAGCGCGGGTTCGATTCCTAGCCTGCCAGGGAAATACCCACATCGCGCGGCAGACCTCTCCTGACTCGCCTGCTGCTCCCCTCAGCAGTGTTTGTGGTCCGTCTGTCTGTTCTCTTCCCTGCTCTGTCTCCGGTGTATTCTCTCACCCTCCCACACCTCTGGCCTACACCCCAGTTCTTCTATAAAAAAATATTTACAAAAAAAAAAAAAAAAAACTCATGAAATCAGAATTTACGTGAAACAACTTTCAGCTTCTTTTTAGAGACACACACCAGGAAGCTTACCTGCTGTTGTCCTTATAACTTACAGAAATATTTCAGAATCCTCCAGCAATGCATTCAAATTCATCTGCTTATCTCACAAAGAGAAAGCAAGGAGCAAAGAATAAGAAAAGCCATTGAAGAAACAAGCCGAAAGGATCTTCATTCACACACACACATACACAAGTGTAAATTGCAGACATGGATATTGAGTTTATACATAGCTTGGTTTTTTTAAAATCTGTTTTTTCAGGTGGCTCATGAAAGTCATTATTTCGAATTCCAGAGGTGAATTCAAGTAACAGTTCACTTACTTGGAATATATCTATGGACGTGATATTGTAGGCTTCGTTTACAATTAATTCTGATTTAGAAAATTTATGTCTAGAATACCGTCTTTAAAATATTAAAAACATGTATATTGGAAAAATATGTTAATGAGTCTGCGACTTAATTTTTCTCTGTGCATTAGAACACACACATGCTATTTCGGGCCCACTGGCAATAGCTGCAAATGCTAATTAAGAGGGAAACATTAATGTGAACTGAACAAAATCACTATCGCCCCTGAACACTACCGCGTTCAACTTTCTCAGTCAGTTTCTATCATTAACCCAAACCATGTTGTCAAAAGCAAGCTGAAAAATGGAGATTGTGACACCTCTGAGACCACTCTTCTCTCTGCGGCTCTAAATCTTCCCTGAAATTCAAATAACCCACTTTGTCTACAGCGAAGTAGAATTCCCGTATATAAGAATCTTTTTGTCCCCCCCATAAGAAATGAAATCGGCAAATGAGGCAGATCAAGAAAGCTTTGGGCCTACTTTGTCCCATTTTCACTGTGGTAGATTTAGATTAATGCATGATTCTTTTTCTGCAGTGATTTTTTTGCAATGGCTGTGACATTACAAATTTTCTAGCTTGAAAGTAAATAAGGAAAATAAGGAATTACTAAACTTTCACTTAAGGAAAAAACCCATCTCCAATATAGATACTTGAAATTGCATCCCGTGGTTTCGTGTCCCTCTGTCGCCGAAGGAGCCTGTTTCAAGAGGAATGAAGGACGGGGAAGGGGAGCGACCGTGGGCTGGCTTCAGGGCGACATCGCATGTGGGTCGGGGTGACCAGTGGACACCCTTTCCAGTCTTCTCAATCAACCCTATTTTTCTAGTATGATGGTTAAAAATTCAGTTCCGCCACATTTCAATTCCAGAGTTTTCTCTACAAAAGGAAGTGACCTCTTTTCTTTCGAATAGCCTTTCTAATTTCCATCCCATTATTGAAAAGAGAACCAAGAATTTTTGGTAACCACTCAAATAGTGGAATAAAGATAAAGAAACCCATAAACATTTAAAGAATTCTCCCTATTTCAAAGAAGAGAGAGATTTCTCTTTATAACAGCACACATTTGAGCTCCCCCGCTAGCCAAGTGAGAAGCCAGAATATGCAGAAGACAATCTCCCCCTTGCCAGTGACTCCCGTGACTCCACGGGAGGGAAACATTATGTGTTGTATTTTACCGCAACGTTAGCTCTGAGGAACTGTTAAAAGTCTCGTGCTAACCCATCCTCAGATTTTAAGTATCTGGTATTACGGTTAAGTCGATAGAAGGATATATAATTCCGCAGGGTAATTAAATTAGTGAGAGCTCGCAAGAAATTCAACTCAAAATAAGGAAATTCAACTCTGTGTAAATGCTACGTAAAATGCATTTCCAATGTGAAGGCAAGCCAACAGCTGTAACCTCTTTAAGAACAGGTACTTGGAGAGGAAAGTAAACCCACGCTTTGTGTATGTCCACCTGCACAGACACACCATCAACCACAAAGGCTAAGTCAGTGCCAAGTGTGCCCCTCGGGCCGGTCCTGGCAGACCGATGACTTCAGGGACTTTGGATGTTTTGAGCCAGTCGTGACAGAAACAGGAAACCCGTTACAGAAACGCGTAGACTAGAATCAAAAGGAGCCTCGAAAGATGGTCCAGTCCATCCCTCTGTCCAGGGCGGAACAGAACCCCGCGCTCTCCCCAACAAGGGAGAAGGCGAAACTTGAATGAGAAGTATCAGAGCAAACCCTGATGGTCTGGCTTGCCCCGCTCGTGGGGGATTTCTGAAAGACAACGTTAAGCCTGTTCTACTGGGAGTGCCAGGCTATTTCCCAGGAGAGAGGAAGGGGGTGAGCGCGGCCGTGCAGGTGTGGCGTGTGTGCACGTGTGGTATGCGCAGCGGCTAGGTGTGTGCGCACTATGAGTGTGGAGACAATGCTGCCCACTTGCACTGTCGAGAGCTTAGTTGGAATAGCTGACATCTCACAGCCCAGGAAGCAGTGTCAGTAGCAGAAGTCTCCCCGTGAGAGGGCAGCAGGGGGCCAAGTGGGCCAGGAGGCTGGCAGCACTGTCAGCCTTTCCCGTTCGGCCTGCAAGGGCGCCGAGAGCGGGGCGCAGAGGTCTCGGCTGGGCTCCTCCGGAGGAACAGGAACCCGAGGCCTGAGGGATGGCAACCTGCCTCCCAGGGCCACCCCTGAGCCCTGAGCTCGAGTGTGTAGGGTGGCAAACCGGCTTTGACTTGGCTTCCTTCAAGGGATCAGAAGGGGGAGCTGTGGTGGTTGCCGGTGCCCACAGGGCCCCCTCTCCTGGCCACCGCGCACTAGCCACAGTGGAGCGGTGCCTGCGCTCCCTCCCTGAGCGCGTCTGTGTGGCCGTTTGCGAGGGAATGTGAGTTTTTGTGACAGAGAGACGGTAACTGGCACAAAACGTTCCCTCTCCCAATCTGCCTCCAGCGCCCCTTTTGCTAAGAGGCGGGCACGGAGACACTGTCATTTCCTCACTTTGCTTCCTCCCGGGTGATGTCCAGACAGTTCTACAGGCACGGGAAGGGAGCATCTGTGACGCTTTCTGACTGACCTTCCTTTCCTGAAGGAAGTGATGAGCAGAGGAGAACCTGAAGGGGAAGAACTTCTCTGCCAGGTGGTGAGAGATAATTCTGCAGCCCCAGACCCGGACCCAAACCATCCAGACTGGAGTCCTGCTCTACCCCCGCCCCCGATGTGTGCTTTGCGCAAATGCCTCAATTTCTCTGCTTGCAGAATGAGGGGAACAGGGCGGCGCTCTTTGGGTCGTGAGGTTTACATAAATGTGAAGCGCTTGCAACAGTGCCTGGCACACCGCAGCTGTTAGGTGTTAGCCATTTACATCATCAACCCGACGCCTTGGCAAAATGCGGAGACTGTCACTTTCCCCCACCGGTCCAGCCGCAGGAATAAAACCCTGGCCCCCTCCCTGACTAGCATCCACTCATCACCTCCCCACCCCCAGGGTGGCCACCCGCCCAGCCGCCCTGCCCCGCACCTGCCCCACACCTGAGGAGCAGGGAAGGTGGAGGAGCGCAAATCAGACAAGCACTTGCGCAAGAGAAGCGCGCTGGGCCCTACCTCTCCGGGCTGGCGAGTGTTTGGGGGTGTTTTCCTACCTGCCCCAGGTTTTTGCCCTTCTTACTGCCGCTGAAAGCCAGTCCTTGGTATATGCCCGCAGATCGATTGGCGGCCTGGGCAGGCGTCTCGCCGCCCAGGGAGGACTTGATGGAGTTGAGCTTGGCCCGCGAGCTGCCGAGCTGGGAGCTCTCCACCATCAGCACCGCGGCCAGGAGCAGCAGACAGCGGGAAGAGTCCTTGCTCCGCATCCCCGCAGCCATCTCCCGCGCGGTCGGGCGCAGCCCGGAGAGGTGCTGCTGGAGGGCGGGGAGGACCCCAACGGGGCCTCTCGCTGAGGATGCGGGGGCTCGCGGCCGGCCCGGCACCCTGAGGATTCAGTCCCAAGCCTCAGACCGCAGCGAGCGCCGGCAGCAGCCCCGCTTCTCCGGGGCAGGAAGTCGCAGCGGCTGGAAGCAATCAGAGGCCCGGCTGAGGAGGCGTGACCGCGGCCAGAAGAGCCGGCCCCGCCGGCCGCGCCTCCCGCGCTCCGCACCTCCGCGCCCGCGGTCCGCCGCGCCGACCAGGCGGCCGCGCTCGTCCCTTCCTCGGCGGCGGCGGCTTTTCTCCTTCCTTCTCCGCCCTCCGTGTCTCCACCTCGCCGGACACAGCCCCCGCGAGAGCCCGAGGCGCGCTCGGGGCGCCCCCCGCCCGGCCGAGGGTCCGCGCCGCCCTGGAAGCCCTGGCGCAGGGCCGCGGGCACCGCTCGGCTGGCAGCGATGCCCTGGGCGTCTGGGCGCCGGGTCCCTCCTCGTCTGGCTTCACCTCCGCCCCTTGGCTTTTTATAGCCTCCAAGTGGGTTTTTTCCCTCCGCCCCCAATTCAAGAGTGACAAAGAGTGAAAACGTCCCCCGCGTTCCCGCCCCCTCGTCTCCTTCCCCGTTCTGGGGAGCCCCCTCCCGCTCGCCCTCTTCTCCCTGCCCCTCCCGCCTCCCCACGCCGAGGAAGTGGGATTCACCCCAGAGGAGGGCGCGGGCTCCCCGCTCCCCAGCCCGCTCCGGCGCGGGACGGAACTGTGGGAACAGATCGCGGGCACATGTGGAAGTAGCGGGGAGGGGGTGGGTGGGGAGGGGGTGCACTGCCGCGGGACCCCAGCATCCCTTCCTGGGTCCCTGCACCCAGCCTCAGCCCCGACTCCGGCAGCCTGGGGAGCCCCACTTTAACAGGGCGGGCGGGCGGGGTGCGCTCGCTGGGCCACTGCCTGGACGGCGCGGCGCGGCGCGCGGGAGGAGAGGGCCAGGAGCGGGAAAGGTGTCCTCCTCCTGTCCTCCCTCCCAGGTGACCTCGAGTCCCCCGCCGCCCCTCCGGCCAGAGGCAGCGGGGCGCAGTCTCCGCGTCTGCGGCGGGAGCGCGCGGCCCGGGCGCCTCTGAAAGTTGCGCTCCGCGGCCGGGAGCCGCCTCTGCGGAGCAGCCCCAGCTGCGAGTGCTGGGCGGGCGGTCTCTGAGGTGCTGCCTTCCCAGGCGCCGAGCCTAGCCCCGGCCACTCCCGGGTCTCTCCTGGGAGCCCTGCCGCTCCCCTGGCGGGCTCGCTGCTGAAGGTCTGAAGGGGCTCGGAGAGCCGGAGACTTGGGCACGCGGGCGCGGGGCGCTTGGGGGCGCCAGCGGCAGTGGCTGGAGCAGCAGGGGCATGCTGCTGGAGACCAGCTGTCCCCGGCTGGCGCCGGGCTTGGAAAGCTTTGCCCTGTCAGCTTAGACGGTTCCAAAGCCGGGGTGGGGGTGGGGGTGGGGGATTGCGGGGTTGAGCAGTAGTTGCATTTCCCCCCCTCCCCTCAGGCCAGGACTCGCAGCAAAGGACGCGGCGTGGCACAGCTCCAGGAGCACCTCTGCACCCGGCCTCCTCAGCTTCCACACCTGAGCTGGCACCCACCTGTACCCATCTGGGTGGACCGTCCAGGCCGTGGCTAAGGACACGGGTGACACCGCTCTTTTCCCTCCGAAGAGCTGGGTACTAGAGGGACCGTACAGCGAGCTGCTCCCAGGCGACTCCAGCCCTGCATACTTCTCTGTCGCATCTGTGAGTCTGTCTGCTATGAAATTTTTCATTTTCCTGAAAGTGTTCTGTTCTTCTGTTTGCTTTTAATACACGAGCAATGGGAGATGAAAACTTAGGAAACCTCTGGCATGCTTTGCCTAAGGAAGAGATTTAAAAAAAAATATTTTTTTGCCTTTTAAAATTCTGCCCGGGAGTGGCTGTGGGGGGACAAACAAAACATTCCGGCATCCCAGGCACTTGTGGAAGGCAAGCAGACGCGCCCTTCTTACTTAGGAACTTGGGGTTCGGTGCCACACTTTACAGAAGGGGCAGCTTGTGCCTTTACTTTGATTTGCCAATCAGAAAAGGGGAAAATGGTAAGAATTTGCTCCTAGCTTAACAATTTACATATTGAACCTGGTACTTTAAAGAGCATCTTAGAGCCATGTGGGCAGACGAGAACGAGCCTGCTGACTGGAAGGGCGGGTGGGCCCCAGCGGCTGCAGGACAGCCTGGACCAAGAGGCCATCCGGAGAGGCTCACCTGTTCCCTCAGTACCCACAGCCTCCTACCTCCACTCAAAACACCTAGGTCACAGGTGCGACCAATAGGGAGTGTGCCAGGCAGCTGGGCAGTGTGTTCACTCAAGAGCGGACGACCCCCTCAGCTGAGCGTCCTGAGAGAGGGCTCCGCTGGGGCTCGTGCGACACCCTGGCCTCTGCCAAAGCAAACTGTGCCCGACACTCAAGTCTGCAGGTGGGGCTGGCACACTCGCCTACCCGAAACCTGCGCTACAACACCCCTGAGGCCACCAGAACGACCGAGCCAGCTTCTTTCAAGGCCGCAGGTGCTCTGGACGGCTCTGCGCCATGAGAGCTGGGCGCGGGGCCTGCACGCGGACCAGGGCCTCGACACAAAGCAGCAACTGCAAGGACGTGTGTGGAATCAGGATGCGCGCTTTGCAGTATCCCTGGAAGACCAGACTGCCTAGGGAGGAAATACACGAAAGCAACACTTACAGGAGCCAGGAGAAGCCTGTGCCTGAAGAACATGGCCTCTGCTCCCCTTCTCCTGGCCATGCTGCCCCCAGCGCCTTCACCTGTGGCTCCTCACTGCCCTGGGCGGCGGATTCCAGCTCCTGGTTTCCTTCCCAGTACTTCACCCCCAGGTGAGCTGTATGTGGCCTCTAATTTTTACCCCGTCATCTGTCCCTGCACTAGTAAGCGCCCCTAAACCACCCACTTAGCCATTGCTCATGTATTCACTGCCTATCGCTTAGGATTAGGGCCCGCGGGTGCGAGGTGAGTCTCAGTGTGGAGGGGCTGGCAGCCCAGCTCCAGGCCTGGCCCCTCGGACAGCAGCCTCGGCCTGTTGGGAGTCGCTGCTATGAGCCTCCCTCTGCTGAGCTGCCCTTGGCTGCGAATCCTGCTAACCTCAGCCTCACCCAGCGTGGCACCTGGGACGCTAGAGCTGGTTAGAGTCATGTGCCCGTGGGAACACCACGGCTAGAGGCGACCCTGGCGGCCGTTCCTTTCCTCAGAAGCACACTTACTAGTGTATGGCAGAGAGGGGGACGCTGGCCTTTGTGGCTGAAACCCAGTCAAGCCATTAGAAATAGAAACATGGGAGTACGGCAGAGGTAGGGGGACGTTAATGTAGAGCCCCAAATCATCTTGTGCGCACACATGGACACAGAAAGCCTTCGCCTTGTTGCATGGCCACAGCCTTGGGGAAGACGCTTATGTGGGTCTCCTCTCTCCAGAGCACCCAGATTTACCAGCTTCCCACTGGGCCAGTTCCCACGCCCTGGTGTACGCGCGGGCAAGCTGGATGATGCTCACTCGGCCCAGGGAGCAAGCGTGTGCTGCTGGCAGTTACGCTTCAAGCAACCTGTAATAAATGTAAGTCAGCACTGGAGCTGTAAATGTTTCCTGATGTGAAAGCGGCATCTGCTCTTTGACCGCTGCCGAAGGCTCAGCCCCCTCCCTTCTGCCCTGACGCCGAGGACAAGGCACCAGCCAGCGAGAGAAGGAAAGGCTCACTGGTCCCAACTCAGTACCTTCCAGGGAGCCCCCGGGATATCAGACTTGTTGGCCATCGGAAATTCTTTGCATCGGCCACCGACGTGAGGGAGGCACAGTGGCCAGTTCCTGTCCCTCGAGCCTGAACCCAATGCATAGAACACGTGCAAGTAACACGGACGCGCGGATGGGCAACCTGCTCCGCTCTCGGGCGCGCAAGTGACCTCAGGCAGAAGAGAAATTGGAATCAATTTCCCAGTGTTTCAGGCCTAACCTTTCCCTGTGATGACAATTTCTGCTGGTTCTAGACCCTGCATGTCCTTGCTAGGGTTTACTTACTCCTGCTAAGTTCTGGCAAGCTGTTTCAAGAGTCATCTTTGCAGACAGTACTATACTTGGCAATGAAAGAGAAATATGTTTAATTCTTTTTTAAAAAATATGTTTATTTCTTGAATGAGTTCATTGCAAGAAATCTCATTTTCTCTTGAGATCCTCAGGACTGGCGGCATCCAGCCTCTCCCCTTAGCTCTCGGGCTCTACAGCAGGGCGAAGCTGGGGCTGCCTCCGTGCTTTTGACAGGACCTCATAGGAAGGCGCTTCAGCAACACGCATTTTTTAAACGCCCGTTTTGGCTGTTATTTTTATGGGGGGGGGGGTGTTTGTTGGCTGACTTGTTGGTTTTAATTAACAATGAACTGCTAAGATTTGGAAGCCACAGTGAGTTGGGCAAAATATTCTATGAGACTTAGCCTGCCAACCACAAGACAGAATGACTTCTACCCTGTTACCACTGCAGATTATTTCCAAAACAAACATTACTCCAGTGGGAAAATGATCGAAAATCTGGCGATTTAATACTCAGAAATAATGTGATCACTTAAAGCAGGCAACCAGAGAGAGAACGGCAGCTCATTAACGCTCACAAACGGGAGCTGAACAACAGCGGCCAGTGGGCCGTGTGCAGCGCGCCCGCTCAACCATCTGAAATGAGGACAGATAAACATGGCAAAACTTCACAACAAAAACTGTGCCACAGATTAAAAAGTAAAATGTATAAAAAGTAAAAAGTGTATCTTACCTGGGTCCTCCGTGGTGGTACAAGGGGTTCAGCCACGGCACTATGAAGCCATCACAGCCTCTGCAGCACGAGTTCAATTCCTGGCCAGAAAGCTACCCACATGGCACAGCAGACCTCTCCTGTCTCCCCGCCGCTCTCCTCAGCAGTGTATTTCAGTATATCTGCCTGTTCTGCTCCCCCCTCAGTCTCTGGTGACTCTTCTTACTCCCTGCACCTCTGGCCTGTACCCCAGTTATTACATGCATAAAAAAATCAATCTTTAACAAAAGTATATCTTACCTTTTGATGTTCTAGGAACAGGACACAATGCATAAAAAAAACAGTTGGAGGGAGGTGTGAAAAGTTGAGATTTCAAATTTCAGTCCACAAAACAACTTTATACATAATAGGCTTGGAATATATGGCAATCGTAATAATAACAAAAACAACAACTACCAAGCTCTAGCGAATGCTTGCTCCGTGCCAGGCTTATTAGGGTCTCTCCCTGTATTATACGCCATCATCTCCTACTCCCGGCTCACGAGTCATGCCATCAAAGCAGTCCAAAGTCTCATATTAAGATAAACCCATGTCAGAGCAGCCCAGTGCACAGCAGGCCCTCATCTGCAGTGCAGGTGCTCAGTGGTGGCACCGTTTGGGAAGTACCCGGGACAGGCAGAGCCCAGAAGAGGAAAACAGAGGTGCCTTGGCTGAGTGCACCAGGGCCTCACACTGATTTCCCCGAAGGAGACCGGAAAAATTACTTGGCCCCACCAAGAATCACAAATAAGCCCAAGAATACAAGCCATGAGCTCACACACTGCAGCTCTGTCTAACACAGCAAAATGATTATTTAACAGAGAACCAAAAAATACACTGTTCTTTAAGGATGGCATCTTGGTCTGCTAAGGCTGCTGCAAGAAAACACTACAGGCTGGAGGCGCAAACAAGAGAAATAATAGAAATGTATTTTCTTACAGTTCTGGAGGTGGAAGTCCAAGGTCACAGCATTTGCAGGTGAGTTTCAGCTGAGGTCTCTCTCTGTGGCTTGCACGGGGCGCCTTCTGACTTTTCGCTGTGTCATCACAATGGATTTATCGACACAGTACACATTAAAATGCTTGGGGTAAAGTAATACTTCTGTACAAAAGGCAAATAGTGCCCTGCCACACTCCTAAATTAATGTCATCTATTCACAAAAGCATCATTCCAATTTTCCTGCTGCCAGTTTACTTCTGAGCCAAGTTAGTGATATTGGTTTCCTTACCTTCCTCCTGTGTGTGAACTGTAGTGACAGGTGAGCCCAGCCGACAGGCTGGAGGTGATTGCTAAGATCCCACAGGGCCTGAAAAAAGAAAACAGAGAAAACATGCTGATTGTCAAGAAGATAAGGCTATTTCTACTTTTAAAAACAGTACTTCATTAATGAAAGATGGAAACAAAATACAGGAGTATGTGATACAAAATGAAATCACTGTAGATCAAAGAAAAGGAGCGGCAAGCAAAAATAGTGATCTAGCAATCAGCAAGTGGTTCTGTCACTAACTTAATTTGTACATTTAGTTCATTTGATTTGTTTAGTTTACTCAGTAAATTAATAGCCACTTGGAATCACAGCACCTTTAATTACTTCAAGGCAGTGCTAAATATGCAGGAACAGAGGGAGTATCTCATTTCCTTAAAAATGCTCATGAAATAATTTTTAAATATATGTACACTTTGACCACCTAGTTCTTAAATTATCAAGAAATCTGAGTAAAAGTCAGCTCAAATTTAGTTTCATATTGTGCTGGTTGGTGTTTCTGAAATCCCTAACATGCTATTTTGGTTATTAGTGTGAAGAACGTAGGAGCAGACTTGCGACAGAAGAGCTGCTTCCACATTCTAAAAGTGGGTGAGCCTTGTGCCCCAACGCCATGCTGTGTGTTTTCATTCACAAGAACATGAAAGCTTACATCTTCGTCCATTTGCCTTTTCATTATTAAAAAGTGTATGCATATGATCTTAGCATTAATAAAATTATTCAAATTTTAGAAACTATTCTTTTGTTCTGTAATTTTGAATATAATTCAGCCCTCCACTTAACGCTAGCTGTAGCACTGGGGCAGTGATGTGCAAACGGGTACTCTTTCTAACATGAAAGGGCAAATACATTCACGGAATTACCTGGCTATCCTCCTATGTCTGCGTAATTCTAGGTCACCCACTACAAATCCTACACTTGCAAGTTCTTATAGAAAGTTGTACTTATTACCATCAAACACTCTTCATTCTCTTTAGCTGAGTACAGATACAGCCTAAATCCACTAATTATGGGTTAATTTGTACTCTCTCTGTCCCTCATTTGTAAAGCATTTTCTAAACTTAGCAGACATGGTTATCTACTTCTCTGTCTCAATGGCCCATTAATATCAGAATACCTTTAAGGAAATAACTCTGAAGAATGCCTCTAAGGAAATCCACATATATGGGGGATGGAAATTGCACTCTAATAATATTCTCTGACCAGAGAATAGTTCCTATTAACTACTAGTAATTTTTTTAATTGATTATATTATACAGCTATTATTTGTCTGGAAGAGTAGGAGAGTTTCAAGGTAATGCAGTAGATGGCAGTAATGCACATTGAGCAATGCTAAGAAAGAGGAAGTGCTAGAGACTTTTACAAAAGGATCTACTTTAGAGAAAAGTGCTTAAAGGTGTTTCCTGTATCAGTGTTATTGGATGATTGCTACCTGACAAAAGAAATCACCTACTTTTGCTATGATGGAGTTGCAGTACTTCTCAAATTACAAATTGCAGTTAAGATTGCATCCCCCCCCAAAAAAAAATCAAAAAGCTCTCCTTTACCCAACTACACACAATGAGCCCTCTTTGTCAGGGTCACATGGAGGTTGCCCAAGTGGTTGTGAAGTCCACTGTAAAATCTCCAACAAGCCACTCACAAACAAAGGAAATTATACGACGTTGCAAATGGTCCAATGAATGTGCAGAAAGAGTAGGAAATTAAGAACAACTAATCTCATTTACTACCATTTTATTCGCAAACGTTCTCTGGTTACCTGAGGGGGAAAAAAAAAAGAAAAGAAAAACATGAAACAAAATCTAAGGATCTCAGCACTTAACTTCCTTTGGTTGTTGTGAATGTCCACTACCTTGACAGTGTTCATGCCCTGGTTCTTTCATAATCAGTTGCAATAAGGTGCTTCCCTCCTCGCTCATTCTATTCCGACTTTATCCTGTATTCTACTTCTTGAGATAAACCTTCTAACAAAGCAATTCCAACAAAAGGGCACAATGTTATTCAAAAATACCAGAGATAAAAATTTGAAGGTAGAGTCTAGAAAGAACGACAGCATTTTAAAAAAGATCCTGTTATTCAAAACCAAAAGGAAGACACTAGGACAACAAAACCAGAAGACAGACAATATCTGCAGTAAAATTAGGCAACAGGGTGAATGTAGTAGCTGAAGGCCCACATAATATCAGTACCTGTGAAAAAGGACATTAAGGGAAAATAACAGGGCTCTTTAACAAGACCGCACCAATCCTCTCTAGGTTCTGTTGCAGATGACACAGCCAGTCAGAGCAGAGTAGCAGAAACCAGAGGGGAATGTGATCTGCAGGCTCCAAATCAAAGAATAGAGTCTCCCAGTGAGGAGTCACAGGAACAGAATCCAAATTGAACAGACCAGGAATAACAGGGACAAAGAAAGAAAAAGTCTGGCTACAAATGAGTAAAGGGAGGAAGCCAGTCTCAGAAACATGAGATCATTTTGAAAGTCACTCCAGAAACACAATACAAGGGGGAGTGTAAGAACCAAGAAGCTAGAAAAGTCATTTGGCCAACCATTTTTCTAATAGCAAAAAAAGGACATATTTGCTATGAAAATGGGCAACAAAAACATTGTGGCCCAATTCTGTTTAAATTTAATATGGGGATAAAAGAGAATAAGGACTAAAATATTATCACTATAAGCAAGCCAAAAAGCATTGCCCAGTAAACACATAAAAATAGTAACAATATTTCACAACATGCCAAAGGAAATAAAGATTAAATCATAAAATATCAGAAACCACCAACAGAACAACTTCTAATATGTTTAAAGAAAAGAAATACTTGAAAAGAAAGGCAATAAGAAAAACCATTTCGTAAATGAAGATTGAACTGGAAAGAACAAAAGGAGCAATATGCAATATTTTAGGAAAAAAATAAGAAAAATAAGATATTAAAACAAAAAGAAATAAGGGAACAGTTAAAAATAAATCAAGAAAAATGATCACTATAGAGGATAGGAAAAGAAGATCCAACAAACTTATAATAGTTTCCTCCAAATAAGAAACCCAAGCAGTGGGGCAATCAAATACTAAATAAAATATTTAAGAAAATGCTTTACAATAATCTGAACAAACTAAAAAGACTTGAAGCTGCACATTATAAAGTTATACAGGGGAGAACGCTGACCCAGAATAGATGACACCTAACATATTCCAGTTAAACTACTGAACTTGGGGGGAAAATCCTTCGGGTAACAGGCAAAAAGAGAATGTCACTCTCAATAATTACCAAAAGACAAGTAATATATTTAAGATATTTAAACAAAAAAAGTATGTGAACCAAGGGTTTTGAATCCAGCTAAACTGAATAAGGTCTATGATTCCAGAGAAAATGATTTGTGAGATACAATAAGTCAGAGAATATAATTACATAAGTACTTATTTAGAAGTGTATCAGAAAACAAGATTTAGACAATCACTATGATACAGATATTGAAATGACATATTAAAAGGAGAATTAAATATGCGATGCTTATAAAACTGACTACAAAGTAGTCTTCAAAGAGAGAGACATGCCATTATGTAATGGCTATGTGCAGTGACAAGTTATGCCGAAGGAATATAAACCCCCTGAGTAACAGGGGTTTATTTGAAGGTGTAAACATAGGAAATGAGTTACTAAGCTCTATCAGTATAAAGGAGAAGAAAAATATGATGATCTCCAGACATGAGAGAAAAAGCATCTGAGAATACAACACTATTTAAGATTACTCAATAGAATGAAAATATCTCTATAAAATGAAATGGGAATAGCATTACAGTGAAGGGGACCATGGATATGAACAAGACATTTTTTATAGCATCGACTGTGCAAACATATAAATATTTTACATAACTATGAAATAATTATTGTTGAACTATTTCCAAGAATAAGATTCCTGGCGATGGGATTGGTATTATTATTCTGACACTTCTATGGGATTGTCAACTGCATTTGTGTGGGGGACCAGGACTTTTAGTGTTGGAGAAAGAAGAAACCAATGTAAGACCCATGAGGCTGTGTACAAACAAACCCTCTATGATGGACTTTGAATTCTCAGCATCACTATTAACTTCCTACTAAAAGGATTCAGGGCTCTTTGCAAAAAAGGCAATCTGTAACTCCAAGGTAGAAAATCCTCAGATATTATCTTGACAGAACAGTAGGCAGGAAATGATAAAAGACTACTTTTCTGGACAAATGAATGTGTCTGATCAATCAGGAAATAAGGAAACAAGAAAATAACTGCAATATAAGGAAAATAACAGCAATAGATGGAAACTCAAAAAATAGATTAAGATCTATCCTTTCATAACAGAATTTAAAAACCTCTGGTGACTGCTGGGTGATGCAAAGTATTCATCTTATTATTTTGAAAATATATATAAAGGAGAAGAAAATAAACGTGTATTTCTGTCTTTTCTGTTCTCACCATGCTTCAGGATAATGAAATATACAGAAATTTTCTTCATATAGCAGCTAGTAACTGAAGAACAGAAAAAAAAAACTGAGAATATATAATACAATATTATATGTAAGAGCCCTTTGCTTCTAAAGAGGCATACTGCAACATATGTGTCTAGCATTTGCTTCAAAATGACTGAGGAACGGAGTGACTGAGTTGTGCAAAGGAAACCTGGTTGGTCATGAGTGGATCCATGTGGATCCATTATACTCTTCTATTTTTATAGGTTTGAAAATGTCCATAAATCAAAGTGACAAAAACAATAATAAAAATAGCTTTAAGGTGAAAGCTGCAGTTAGGCATACAGGAGGCCCCGGGGACAGTGCCTTCCTGCACACTGACTCAGTCCTGCCCATCCCGCTGTCAGGGCACTGAGGGCACTGGGTTTGCCACTTCCCTGAAGGCCCCAGGAGGCGACATCCTCTCTCAATTCTCCTGCAGCGACCAGCTGGCTCCAGATCCACTGCCCACGAATATTTGTTACTGGGATGGACACCTAGAACAAGCATGTTTTGATTTTTTTCAGGGCACCGGAATTCAGTCATGACACTCGGAGGGTGAGTGCCGAGTCTGCAGGCTTTCGGCACCCTGGATCCCAGGCGGCACGTTTGTGCTGTGCGATGGATAGTGGAGGTGCGGATCCTCAAGTCAGAGGACAACAAAATGGGGGTCAGACAAACAGTCGTATGAGAAGGTAACTCCTACACAAATGGTCAAAATAATATCGGTGGTGTGAGAGCTCACCCTCGGGAAGCAGGTTTATAACCGAATGAACTCTGAAGAGGACATCGACCTCATGGGCACAGGCACTGGCCTGGGTGTCCAGAGCCCCACTCTGGTCAGAGACCAAGTGTCTCTGAGAACCACCTCTCACCTGCACTTTCAGAGGCGCGGGGCAAAGGGTTGTGGTAGTCAAGTCACCCAAAGACCCCCTGCTTCCCCACAGCAGATGGACGGGGGGGGGCAGGGGGGGCATCTAACCCAGGAAGCCAGTGAGCCCCTTCACGTTAAAATGAGAGCCTGACTGGATGGGGGGATGGAGGGTAATAGATACAGTGAGAGTGAGAGCGAGCAACAGACAACAGCAGTGTCACATGCAAGCATCTCCAGCTGACGTAGGTACCTGAGAAGAGCACACTGATATGTGTGCACCTGTGCACAGCTGGGCGTGTGCATGCGGCGCAGAGTCCTGATGCCGGCCGGGCCGCAGGGCCAAGAG